GCTCACTTGCTTGACGTGGATGACATATCAGTGTCCCCGTCAGATTTTTCATGATAAAATAATAATTTACTTTTTTCACATTATTTAAAAACTATATAATTTCTTTTCATATTTTACTCCGTCATCTACTTTAGTTTTCCTTCATGAAAAGCACATTTCTTCGGTCACATCATTGATGGAGAGTTCCATTACATATTTACTTCAAAATTACAGATAAATAATTAAGACCCATCAAATATCTTTACTCAATTTGAAGAAAACTTGATTATTTATTCAATGATTAATAATCACTATCCTTTTTCAGTCACTATCCCATAGAGAGTTCCAGTGCACACTTGAAGATTACAACAAATTTAAACGAGACTCATCAAGAATCTATACCCAATCGAAGAAAGTTGAAATCCTTATTTACAAAGCCCACTGAAACCAACTGAAGTCAAATCCCACACTTATAAGTAGCTAAAACAGAAAATCAATTGAATCTTCATAGGTTTCATTTGAACTCCACTGGAAAAATGGAGGGAGAAAGAAGAAGAGGAAGAGAAGAATGGAGGGGAAGAAGAAGAGAAATGGGGGATGGGGAACGGACGGTACTAACGAGGGAGGAGGAAGGACTCTTCAGCCTTTTTTTATTTTTCTTTCTCTCTTTTTAACTTTAATTTCTGCCTCTTTTTTTTTTTATTTTTTCTTCTTATTTTAATCTTTTAAATCAAAATTACGGTACTCACTCTCTTCATTCGCGTGCATTACACGCATATTGTCCAGCTTAATTTAGTCAATGCCACGTAAGTTGGATCAACAGTCGGAGGGGCTTAAAATAATATATTTGATCAAGTTCAGGTGTCCACTTGAAACTTTATACAGTAAGGGGACCGGGATGTCAAATAGAAAAAAATACGGGTATCTATTAGGATATTCTGCCAAGTATATATAACGCCAGAAAACCTGGCGCTATACATTAACGGTAGCTGCACCGTTAATGTATAGCACCAGATTTTCTGGCGTTATATAAAAAAAATCTGACACACTGATATAGCGCCATAAAAAGTGGCGCTATACCCTTTAAGGAGTGAACCACATTGCTTCCATCTAATTGCTAGTTTAGCAAACAAGATCCAGATTATGTGCTCACTGGATGAGATCAAGATCCATCACGAAATAGTTGAACATTATATGTTTTTTTTTAATGTATATTATGGAAGAATATAATCTAAGTTAATAATGTAAGAATTTTACATTTTTTTGTAAAAGGTTATGTGTTATCTTCTTTTTTGAAGTCATAACCATGCTTATATAGATGACTGTGTATAGTTGAATTATCTAAAAAATTATGCCAAAGGTTTTTAGAATCTGTGTATAAATATTGCATGCTAATGAAAAGTATAACATTAGTATATGCTAACATTGCATGTTTATGAAAATGAATGAGTTGGTGCAACACTATTCATCACTCTATATTAGGTTTATTAATATTTTATTCAATCTTTTTATTTGTGTAATTTTAATTTATCATATATTGGGTATATAATTAATTTTTATATTAAGATCTTTATAATTTTAATTTTATATCCTATTTTTTGATATATTAATTTTTGTATATATTATATTTATATAAACCTCGGAACTCATAACTTTGAAACTTGTAAAATTTTGAACCTTTAAACCAATAAATAAAAAAACTAAAACTGAAAAATATATTTAAGGAATATTTTTTCGCGCGGGGTGGGGGGCAGAAAAACGAAAAAAAATAGAAATTTGAAAGTACAAAAAAAAAGAAATTGTGCGAGGGGGGGGGGGGGGCAGCAGTTGAGGGGGTGGGCGGTGGGGGTGCAGAAAAACCAAAAAACAGAAATGTGAAATTGCAAAAAAAAAAATATAAGGTAAAAAAATATTTTTTTTTTAGCGGGANATAAATATAATATATACAAAAATTAATATATCAAAAAATAGGATATAAAATTAAAATTATAAAGATCTTAATATAAAAATTAATTATATACCCAATATATGATAAAAAAACATAATCTGGATCTTGTTTGCCAAACTAGCAATTAGATGGAAGCAATGTGGTTCACTCCTTAAAGGGTATAGCGCCACTTTTTATGTCGCTATATCAGTGTGTCAGATTTTTTTTATATAACGCCAGAAAATCTGGCGCTATACATTAACGGTGCAGTTACCGTTAATGTATAGCGCCAGATTTTCTGGCGTTATATATACTTTGGTAATTTTTTTTTTTTACACTTATTTACGTAGTTTGAGTCCAAAAGAACCACATTTTGGTTCCGGACTCTTGATACATAGAGGGGCATGCTTGTTTCCCCAGGCAAAATAGGATACTGAGCCAATGTATGAACTATTATTATTGCAGTTCAGTACTTGTCTTGGAAAAGTAGTTCCTAAGATATCAGTCCAAAAATTTTCATTTGCAAACATCGGAGGAACTATTAGTATAGTTAAGCTACCAAAAAAATCCTTGTTGGCTCTTTCTTTTGCCAAAAGATAAGTTACTCCATTGTGTTCCCTATAGTTGTGCTTGGAGTCCGGAACCAAAATGTTGTTATTTTGGACTCAAAAGACACAAATAAGTGTAAAAAAAAAGTGACCATAATATATATAACGCCAGAAAACCTGGTGCTATATAATAACGGTAATTGCACCATTAATATATAGAGCCAGGTTTTCTGGCGTTATATTGACACAGTGATATAGCGCCAGAAAACCTGGCGTTATACCCTTTTTTTCCTGACCCCAGCAATAATAGCAGAGTACAATAATTCAAAATCGTATAGTGCCAACTTATTTGGCGCTATATATGTAAAAAAAAAAATCTTCCCGGCTCTCCATTTTCTATATAAAGAGGTTAGAATCGCATAGAAATGCATTCAAAATTTTTTTTAACTCTTGTTGAAACGTCTGTTGTTGTTAAATTCTCCAGCATTTTTTTATTATGTCTGAAGAGCGTAGGATAAGAGTTTCATTATATTGGGGTGGTGAGGTTGTGATGGAGAATAACTCCGTGGGCTACAGTTTA